TGTGGCCAGTCCAAGCCATCTAAGCTTTCCAAGTGGGATTCGGCATTTTGAATCATCCCAAGCACGGTGTCACAGCGACACCCTCCTTGGTGGGATTCCCAATCCAGAATGCCCGGAACAGCTCTGGAAGGTGCCCGGATTAAGGTCTCTGATTGCCTAGGTCTAGAGGCGCTGGCGATGCAGCTGTTCTGTGTTGCCATGTGTTTGCATCCAGGGTGGCCTTTGAAGCGTCCATTCAAGTTCCGGCATGCATGCTTGTTCTTTCAAGCTCTGTGTAGCAAGCACGAAAAACAACAACACGCAAGTCTAAGTTAGGCCCACCGGCACTCCACAATTTCAATAGTCTCCACAAAGCCGTTTCAACAAGATGGAAGCCATATTGAGGAACCCTTCGGATATTAAAGAATCTGCCAAAAAAAATATGCTTTCAGTTCTTTTCTCAATGAGCAGCCAACCCAAATGCATTAGATTGCAACAGTGAGAACATAAGCTCACACCATTCCATCTCCTGGGCCTTCAGCTTGTATAACTCCTTCCGTCACATGCGGTCTAGGGCGCGCGGCTTTTGCGCGCCTGGCGCCCCTTTGGGCGCCCAGCTTCTTTATGGGTTCAGTATACCGCCGGAAAATCATCCCAGTCTGTGTGTTCCTCCTGTTTGGGGTTGTATCCCAGTTTCTGTCAAACTGTTGCCTCCGTTGCTTAAAACCACCTACCAAACGGTAGTAGGGCCTACATAAAGGCGCGCGCTCTTTGCGCGCCTATTGTAGGCGCGCGCTCTTTGCGCGCCTGGGGCGCGCGCTTCTTGCGCGCCTGGGGCGGGCGCTTTTTGCGCGCCTGGTGCGGCGAGTGCTTTTTCCAAGCCAGGCCTAGCCGTTGGGTATTTTTGTTGTGTTTTGCACTACCCTGGTTCATGGCCAAAACCGCTCTGCACTGCAATATCGTTGTCCACGCCAATGTCCTCGGGTGTGCTTCATTCCAGCACCCTAAGAGCCATCTGCTCCCTCCCCCATTCATCCTTCTTTCTGTACCCATCTCTTCCACCAAAATCTTATGAAAACGGCCCTCGTCCATCAAATTATTCGGTAATATATATATATATATGTATACTATCTGTATGTGTAAGATGCGGCCAAGCAAAATCAAATATCTAGGACCACCTCTTCCACTCCGTTCCGCTCCCTCACATCCACATCCCTTCCAGACGATGGGCGGAAAAACGGACGTGCTGAAATGTAGTTAAGCGATTATGCCTTAGATATGTAGAATGCCCATTGACGCTGCACGTCGGGAATTGATAGATCCATCATAAACTTGCGGCCTGCGGCCGGATGCTTCTTGGTCCCGTGGGGCCAAGAGCGGCAACAATAGAGCTCCAGAATGCTAGACCGAGGAAAGAGTAATGAGAACATCTGCCAACCATAATGGGATCGAAATCCGTGCGTAAATGGCTTTAATAATGGGAATACCATATTAATAAGATAGTCTTGCTGGCATCTACCAGGAATAACGGGATGACAAGCAGCCCGCTATGGTTGGCATATATGCCTAACCCCTAGGATCCGGTTAGGTTATTAATAGACAGGATATAGTCTAGGTTATCATCATTTTTTGATAGTCTTTACAGGGTTTGTCACATACTTGGTGATAGTCTATTATCAGGGAATGAAGAACATATATGCTGATAATTTTGGAAGTGTTTTCAATATATCTTATAATTGAACATTTTGTTTTTTAATGCAACATCTACATTGGATTTTTTTATATTTTCCATGTGGTTCTCAAGTTTTGTTTTCGAGTTTTTTCTTGTCATTTTTGTAATTGCGTTGTCTACTGCAGAGACGATGTTGCGCAGAAGGCTGGATCAAATTGTCTTTGATTTCAACCAACAGTCTCTGCAGATAAATTAAAATATATGTTTTATTATTTTAATTAGTTATCACTCTGCATACATGAGTGCAAAGAAATAAGTAGATTAACTTTCCTTTAAATCATATTTTCGTGTCAATAAAATTTAAAAAAAGTTTTGTTGCATTTAAAGTTTGATTAAAGTTTGTTTCAAACTTTGAAAGATTAGATTCAAAGTTTAAATCAAACTTTGAAATTTTATATTCAAAGTTTTAAGCAAACTTTGAATATTAAATTCAAACTTTGAATAAACTTTGAATAGAAACTTCTTAAAACTTTGAATTCAAAATTCAAAGTTTTAAAGTAAACATTTTAAACTTTGAAGACATTCAAAGTTTGATTTATAAATTCAAAGTTTCAAATCAGTCATTTAAAACTTGACAAGTTACCTTTCAAAGTTTTAGATATTTTAATATTAAACTTAAAATAATACCTTCAAAGTTTCTAATGTTAAATTATAAACTTTAAATTCTATTTTTAAAGTTTGAACTAAACTTTGAACAAACTTTAAATTCACTTTTTCGATTTATGTAATATTTGTCAAAATTTGTACTAAAAAATATTTATATATATATATGATAAAACATGTTGCCTCATTTAGATTCAAGTTACCATGTGTCAGATTTCAAACATTTGTCTTCCAAAGCAATCCAAGGATTCAACGTCAGCACATACTTTGGCTCGTTACCTGATTCTGGTGAAGCATCGACGCACACAACTGATTTGGAAACACTAAATGCACACTGAAATGCACAGCAATACTGCAATTTAAAGCGCGCTTTAATTCAAAGCGCTAGTTCAAAGGAAAATCTGCACTTTCAGTGTCACGCATTGAGTGAAAAAAAGTTCCGTCACTGGAATCAGACAGGTTTTTTCGTCATCTCGTTTCCGTTTCCAGTGTCCATGTCCTTCTCCGATTTTCACAAATTATCTTGTGTGTCTACTTTTTTTTAACAAAGACTAACCTTGCAAAAGCTTATCGTGATTTCGTGATAAGCTTTCGAAATAATCTATATAGACTATCATCAAGAATTCATGGATGATAACCTAAAAAGACTATTTATAACCTAACCGGATCCTAGGGGTAAGGCCTATCACGAAATTGTAGCCAACTTGCTGATATATCATATGAATAGTTCCTCGCATTGACGCGTTCCACTCATCATTCCAGGCAATCATTCATTCGAGGACCTCGAAATCCATGATGTCCGTTCTTGCTAGTAGGCGTTTCGCGTATATACCCAGTTGATATATACCCATACTTGATATCCCCGTTCATTAGCTCTACAATCCGTAATGGTGAAACAAAAACAAGGTTGATTTCCTACACAATGACAGCCCCAGTTTGGCTTTTGGGCACGCCCCTGACCGTCTTGATGAACAACGACTTGATCGATGTCATGGATTTCGCAAGAACACTGAGGTTCTGCACCAAGTCAGACTCCTGCTTGGGCTGAGATCCCTCTGATCTCTTCTCTGGTTGTGGAGCTTCCTCCGCTGCCTCCTTCGCAGGCGAAGGTGTCTCCTTTTGGCATTCCTTTTCCGAGCCCTTTTGGCCCTTCTTATCTTGGATCTTGGCAACCTTTCGATCGCCCTTTTGAGCACCGCCATTCCCCTCCTTGGGTTTGACAGTTGGACAATCCTTCTTTCGATGCTTCGTGGATGAGCAGAGCAAGCACCTTGAGGATTTCTCCAGTGATCCCCAAGAATGTGCATACGTGCCGTGCACTTCTCACCCCTGCGACATCCTTCCTCAGTGCCCCAAAAACGACATGGTGCCTTATCACCATCCTGTCTATCTCAGGGCTTCTGCCCATCATTCCTGTCCCAAGGCTTCTGCCCATCACCGGATAAGGCCTTGACAGCCGGATTCCCCTGCGTCAGCACAGGTGCCAACGCTGGCGGATTCGACGGCGTCGCCTTTCCAGCAACTTGAGCATTGGCAAGTTCCTCCAACTCAGCTTGGATATACTCTGCCCAGTCATTCTATGATTCCCAACTAGGAGTTCGATCTACATCCAGCTGTTGGCGCATGGATGCCAGTCGGAACGCCACTTGGCTTCCGCCCAGTTTCGCAGCTCCATCTGCGAACTTTGACAGGACACCTGTCAGCACCAGAGGATCGATCGTCACACGCAACTCCCCTGACCTTCCTAGAGATCTGCGCCACTGCCGGATTGACCCCAGCAACTCCACCAGACCAGCAGGCACCTTCACCTCACTGAGGGACCGAATCAATCCTGTTCGTTCACCCGAACCACCTGGCTGGTAGGACGTGTACAAGCGAAACAGGATGCCTGTGGTCGTCAGTCGCCTTGAGGCAATGATGTCCTGTCTCAAGGACTCCGGCAACGCACCCAAGAGCATTGTGACTGCTCGCTGTTCCAGTCGTGGATTCGCTTCCCAGTGCACAGGTGGCGTCGGCCGCATTCTCAACTTTTCCGAAGGAGATGCAGTCAACCACTGCGCATAATGGTTCTCCACGCCTTGGACCATCGATCCCCAACCATTCACTGGCAGATCCTGACACATCGCACATCAGAGGATATACACTACTGTGAGCCAGTCTCCGAATTGGAGAGACGCCCCTTCCCCCCCAAGAGCAGGGAGCTTGGGCAGTTCCAAGGTCCGCAAAGCCTCCGTCAAAACCGATCCCGCTTGCGTAGGAACAGCTATCCCAGGTGGCGGAGACGGCATGCCTCCCATTCCACGAGGTGGGCTATTACGGCCTCCTCCCATAGGCTGAGGAACACCCATAGTCTGTCCAATCCCGGCACCAACTCCAGCTCCACTGGAATGCTGACTGGTATGATTGAGTCTCTTCGGTTGGCCCCTGAAGCCTTTTCACCTCCCTGGCAAAGGCCTCTTCTGCCTCCCGCATCACCCTCTGTCTGATCTCCTCCACTGCTCTCGCAGCTGGATCCATCATCACTTGGTTTCCTCCTGTTGGCTCACATCCAGCAGGAGCTGGGCTCATCCCTGTGGCCAATGCCTGCATGGGAACCGGGCTCACCATTTGCATGGGAACCGGGCTCACCATGGGCACTGCCATTGGATGCCTTGGTTCACGGACCGGGGTCACCATCATCAGGGTTTCACTCCTGGCTTTGAAGCTGATGCTGCGGCAGGTTAAACTCCACCAATGGCGGCAACGGCTCCACTGCCTTGAGGACGTCCAGCAGGAAGACCTTGTAGAGGAAGTAGACCAGAAGGACCGCCTTGACATACACCAGGATGACCTTGAGCTCCAGGACGAAGTGCATCACCCAAGGCCTGCAGCTGAGTGCCAACCGCACCACCCACGCCTTGAGCAGCTCCCCATAGGAACTGGCCAGCCACCACAGGTGCAGCACGTCCTTGACCACCACCTGGCAAAGGTCCAGTCGCTTGCTGAGCACCCACCATCTGTTGAGCACCAGGTTCCACAGCCTGTGGCAGTCCCATTGGTCTAGGCACCACATCTCGACCTCGTACTCCATCACCACCACTAGGTTCAGCTGCTGGAAGTTCCAACCTTCGAAGACCACCTGCCGCCACCCTTGGAACTGACTGGGCTCTTCCTTCCCCACGTTCCCTTTGGGCTTCAGCGATCATTCGATCCAAGGCTCCATCAGCTGTCTCGCCTTCTCTCATCCCCGAGCGTCGACGCTGCATCAACGACATGGCAGAGCGTTTTGGGCTCGTAACCTTTGGGGTTACTTTAAGGCGGCCGGGCACTTAGCTACTTATAAGTTACTTATCTTGCACTTAGTTTGATGGTTCGCTAACTAGGTTATAAGTAGGAAATAACTTGTTTAACGTTTTGCCTTCGTTTTTCAACATTTTTGATTTTCGAAGGATAAGTTTATTTTTTCAGCTTTTTGTCTTTCATTTACATGTTTTATTTCGTGAAAAGATCATTATTTCCATGTCGAAGTAGTGAAAGTTGCACCAATCCGACCCTTTTTCATCCGAGAAGCTGCTTTTTGCTGTTCAGTGTAAAAATTTTATGATGTGAGAAGATCATTTCCATGTCGAATTATATAGTGAAGGGTCGCGTCGATCCGCTTCTTTTTCATCCGAGAAGCAGCCAGACATCTTTAATGGCACCGTGACATTCCACTCGACTATAGGGTGCACTTTGCGCCTTTTGCGCGTCGTCGAGGTGCAGCAGGGACATTTTATTTGAAAGGGTTGGGCTTTGCCAACGTTTGAAATTGGCGGCAATTTCAGAAGTAAATGTTAACTCCACGCAGAGTAAAAAAAAAAGCGGCATGAATTTTGCAAGCGCCCAGGATTTCAACTGCCTGATTTGTTGCCAGGATTTTGAACTGACCCTTGCCATATGTAACACCTTGGTGCATGATGCGCGGTGCTACTATAGCATCAGGATCTTCAGAGGCAGCTGCAAGGTGACGGCAGTTTGATGTCTTTCCAAGGAAATTCGTTTTGATAAGAGATTCTGTCTGATTCATACGCAGATCTTGCTCTCCTAGTTCCAGGAGACAAAACTTGCTGAAGTTTTCCAAATTCTTTCGATTTGGCGCAACACGTGTTTTGAAAAACGTGTTCTTGCGTTCTGTTGGAAGCCATCCATCATATATCCCTTGGCAAACTGCTGCGGCAAGTGCCTTGAGAAATGCAACTTGGGCCGCGCCCATTCTCGACCATAGCATTCCATGAACTTGGTTGCATGCCTCGTCTGTTGACTTTGCAAGCGCGCAATGTCTAGCAGACCGCCGCGTTTGCTTTGCAGCCAACTGCAGATGACAGCATGCAGTGCAAGCAAACTGTCATTTTCCTTTTTTAGTTCTTCTTCATCTTGCAAGACTTCAGAGCAGAAAGCGGCACAAATTGGTAGCACCACCAAAGTGTCACCTGCGTCTCCACGATAATCTTTACCTCTGATCCAATGCTTGTCTGTGAAGGCACCACAGACTTCTGACGGAGATCCGTCATATTTCCAGCAGGTTGTCGCATACTGGCGCAGCTGCTGCAATCGGATTTGAGTCTTCGTAGTCACTGCCTCCCACCAATAGCCCAATTCTTGATTGCAAAGACCATTGGCTACAAAGCAATGCATAGGGTCATATAAGACTCTGTCCACGCCGATCAAATCTGCCAAAGCCGGTTGCAGCAAAAAGGTTTCAGCCATTGCTTCGGTGTTCCATCCAAGCAAAGTTTCGGCTTTTTCTTTTGCGGACCTTGAAGGAATACTCTGCAAATACCTTTGGATGCCACGAAGACTTTCCAATGTATGCGTTTTATGCTCCGTGACGTCTGGGTTTGAAATATGAACGGTTTCTGCCAAGTCGAAGTGCTGCAGTCGCACCACATTCTGGCAAAGCCAGCAAGGTTCCAACCCACTCGAGCCCTTGTTGCCGAGAGTCAACCTGATACCATCTGCGTCCATGAAGACTGCGATGGACCGGATGAACACCAACTGCGGACCGGATTTGGTCTCAATCATGAATCCATCTTTGCAATCTTCCTTCAGTTGAGTCAGCAGTCTGAGCTGCTGCGGGACGCTTCATTCCCTGACTAGAGTGAGAAGCAGGCTTTCGATGCACCGGCCCTTTGCCAGCCGGCTTTTTTTTTCACAGCAGTCACTTCCGACTCCTTCAACTCCGCTGTCTTTTCCCTCTTCTTAACATTCTCTTTCCGCGGGGTCATTTTTTGTAACAGGAGATTCCAACTCGCTTTTCAACTCTGCCGCCACCTTCCCGCGGCGTCTACACGGATACGTGGCAACCAGCCGACAGATATAATCCATTGCCTTTGTCACTGGAGTCCCTGCAACAAATCCGTTTGGATATGCCGCGTTCAAAAATTGCTTTGGACAATCTTCAGGTGAACTTGGCAAGACATCCATGACAGAAGCCAACGGCACTGCGTTACTGAATACCTTTTTCATACGTGACTTATGCAAAGTCAGCAGCTTCAACTTGTCTTCTTCCAGCAACTGCATGCCACCCACACAAAAGGCCAACGCACATAAACCTGCGTACGTTGGTTCGGACGCATTCCTCAAGCCCAGAGAAGCAGCTAAGCCGCACAGCGACTCCAAATTTCTCACCTTATCCTTTCCACTTTCAAGCAAATTCCACCAGTCTTGGCCCAAATAATGTGGAATGTTGGTGAAATCCTGGAGCGCTGCACGCGAAGCAGCTGTGGATTCGTCATTCTCATAACAAGTTTGCTGAGCAATACAAGTTTTCAACTCCTCCATGTGCAAACCCCAGACATTGCAATCCAGGATTGGCATCAAAGCTGCGGACTGCTCGACACTCAGCACATTCTTGCCAAGAAACGCTATCAAGCGCTTCAATTGCTTGCCACGCAAGTCATCAAAAGTAGGTAACGCAACCACATTCAGCAAAAATTTCTGCGCGGCAACGATCTGTTTCTCCACTTGAGCCATGATTGCTTTGGAAAATCACAAAAATCAACAAGAAGAGATAGCTGGGAAAACTTCATTTTTCCAAAATATATAACAAAAACCAACAAGGTAACAATGAGGACAAAAAAACTATTGAAAAAGCAACATGAGGTTAACTATGTTAAGTACCGTTTAACTTTTTAACATGGTCGGCCCTAAGTACCTAATAAGTCATTAACTAACTTATAACTAGCCCAAAAATTAACCCTACTTATAACTTAGTTATCCACTTAAACCTTAACTTAAGCCTCGCTAACTATACTTATAAGTTACTTATAAGTAGCTAAGTGCCCGGCCACCCTAAAGTATGAGTTAGCAACCAGCTGCAGCACCCGAAAAACTGCAGCAGCTCTTTTCTCGCGCCATAACTTGAGCCACGATCTTGAGCCACAAGCATCGAGTAGCGAAGCTTTCAGCCATGTCTATGTCATCCTTAGTGCAGGGGCCATGCTTCTAAAAACCAAGCTCACCCTTCTACACATCACTGCTAGGTACAATGAAGCTGGAGTGTTTCACGTTCACACATCCACAAAATCAAAAAATCTATAAATGATATATTGCCATACTGCATCAATTATACATAAGTACACATAATTGTGTATTATCCAAATAATATCAAATAATCACATTAATTGTTGTTTAATGATATTTCATGTTCAACCTTGGATCATTTGCTCATGAGATAAAGGATCTGAAGAATGGCCTGGGCCTCCCAGCAACGTCTGAGGCCCGGGATCTCGTGGCCCCGGGATGAAGATGAAGCGGGTGCCATGCATAACGTGAGCCTCCAAGTTTCTCCTCGGAAATGGATCTCAACAACACACCGGATCTCTGCTGAGCCTGTGTTTCTTAACATGAAACCCATGATCAGGATGCGAAGATGTGTGCAGAGAAAGTTTCAACGTCCAGGGAAAATAAAAACTTGGTACAGTATCCGAGGGTTGCACAACATAAACTTCAGGCGCTCAAAGCCTTCACGATATGCGCAAACCTCAACTTGACAACATGCAAAGTCCAGGTTCCTCCTCCAACCTCATGTGCTCTTATACACATCCGTTTGTGACACAAGTGGAAGTTGTCAAACTTCGATGACAAGTGCGATTCCAACCCAATCCAGTCTGATCCCTGTAATCCCTGAGATCTCGAACTCCTTGGGAAGTAGGCACAAATGAGCGCGAGCAGAAGTTGCCCATCAAAATGTAGGCTTTGGGCCTGGCAATTCGCTCATCCAGATCATCCAGGCCCAGGACATTGACAGCTTGGCTGTCACATGTTGTCACCGTTCCTTCCCATTCTTCAGTCTTCTGGGATCCGGACGGACCGGCGCTCTCAAAGCCTGTGGGAAGATCAGACATACTCAAATATGTTGTAAATACTAGTAAACCCCAACGAATTCAAAAGAATCAAATGCCACAGTATGCCACAATATCAAAATTGAAGTCTTGAATCGTGAGTGGCAATGTTTTCACATGCTAGAGATTTTTTTAGTTTTCCGACGGAGGTGGCAGCATGTTGGCAGTTCGTTCCATCTCGTGTGGGTGCCAAGTGTAAATGCCATCTTGCCTTGAAATAGGGTTTCCAACATGTCCAGCACCTGGACCTCAAAAATGTTCAAATGTCTGAAGATTTGAAGATCATCGACAGCACTCAGACCTCACCTGCCTGTCCAAATGGACCATGGGCCTATGCAGCTTAGATCTACTGATCTGCTACTGATCTGCTAGTGAGTTTTCACAATATGAAGTTCCATCAGTTTCGATCAGCAGTCAGACTGAGTCTTGAACGCTATCTAAGTGCACCTGGTGGTGATGCTTAATACTGTCTTCTAAACCAAAGGCACTTCGCGCACCTTTTCTTGATCAAAAATGCCTCAAAGTCGTCAGATCAGACCTGTAATGGGAATCTATGCTCGGACTCCCCCCAACTGCTCGCAGTTGCTACTGATGCCATGATTTCACCGCATCAAGTGCTTCAAGTCTGCAAGACCTTTAGTGCTTCAAGTCTGCAAGACCTGTTCCGAAAAATCCCAAAAAGAAAGGCCCTCACGGCTTTGCGTGGCCCAAGGCATATGATCTATTGAATCTTCTGCTGTTTGTGATACCTATACATCTTTGAAAGAGTTTGTTTAGAAAGGCCCGACCCCGCATGATCGTGTTGGAACTTGTTCCACGGATTCGTCAGGTCAAGCTCCTTTTTCGGAGCTTCCAAAAACTCCCTATATAAGCTACCTGCAGCCGCAGCCGAAGTTCGCTCACCACCGCGGCTCATCCTGGAAGATGTCGATGCAGCCTGCCCTGGACTGCTTGACACCGCCGCAGAAGCTTTCTCACCACCGCGACTCAGCATTGAAAAGGTCGACGCTCCAGCTTGCTCACCACCGCGACTTGGCAATGATGAAGTCGATGCAGCCTGCCCAAGACTGCCTGAGATCGCCATAGTTTCATCATCTGGCGATCCTGTGGTGATCTGGATACTCAAAGACGTAGAGCTGTTCAATGGTGTTGATCCCCCCACATGTTCCAGTTTCACCGATGCATTGCCTCTTGCAGATTCTTCAGAAGACCTTTGATGACTACCCTCGTCCTGGTGGCGCGATGTCCGCTGCAATCGCTTCAGGCAAAAACTCGTACAGCTTTTGATGCCACCGTATGTGAGCTGCCCGGCATAGATTACCCCTAAGGCCATCAAAGTTGCACCACACGCCCAAATGGCGCCAAACTCAGCTTCACCTCCAATCTCTTCAGAATCCACTCCAGACAGCAGCATGCTTCCCAGCGCCAATGATACTGCAGCTATTTGAGGCGCTGTCCCATATCCGCCTCCATCTCTTTCTTCTCTTTGTTGAGGTCTCATGCCCAGATCTCGGGTGAAGGACATGAAAGATTGTCCAAGAAGCGGTTTGGTCAACCCATCCGCCACCAAGTCCACTCCTCGTAGGTGGATCAATCTCCACACCCCACCAGGCGCCGTCCCCTCCAAGGCCTCCCTCACATAAGAAGCTCTAATGCGCAGGCAGGTGTCTCGTGCGCCATGATGTCCCACCCGTTCCTGATGCCATGCCTATGGCTGCTACATTGTCGCCATAGATGACCCTCTCTATTTTGGAAGTTCCAGGGCTTTCACCCAGCATTGAACATAGTATGGCCTCCGTTGGCCTACCCACATTCAAAGCATCACAGTAGGCCACCAGTTCACTCTCCGCCGTTGAGTGTGTGACGAAGGGCTGGATTGTGATGTATTCCAGCTGATGATGCATCCACACAGAAACGTCGCAATGCCCTGAGTGCTCCTGTGCTTCGTCCCAGTGTCAAAGGCGATATCCGCCATGACTTCTAGTAGAAGTGGATGTCGTGCAATCTTCAGCTGGTTCTTTTCACCCCACACATTTCCAGGAACGCCCTCTGTGTAAAACAGTCCTCCAAGGTTCCCCGTGACGTATTCCATCAACGCCAATCCAACTTCAACAGCTCGAGCTGGATTTCTTGTTGCAAGACGGCTAACTGTGGCAACTCCAACTGATAAGTCAGGTCTTGTTCTCATTGCCAACCATAGCAGTGCACCAGCAATCGCCTGGGCTTGTTTGATCTGTTGAGGCTCTACAGGGTCGGAAGGTGTGTCGTCATCTTCATTGATGAGATAGCTGGGGACATCGGTGGCCTTGGTGATGTTCCATCTCTGAAGCATCTCAAGCTCATACTTGTTCTGAGAGATCTTGAAGCCACCTTCAGACATCGCTTCTATTTCAAAGCCACAGTATTTCACTATGCCCTCCCCCGTTTTCTCCACTGCTGAGATCGCCCATGTCCTTTCAATTGCCGATGTTGCTGCATCAATTGCTCCATCTTCAGCAATCAAAGAGTAAGTCGTCGACATAGATCGACATGAGGCCAGACCACATCGTGTTGCCACTTTCACAGTCTACCTCCTCCATTCTCCACGTGTTTTCATCTGGAGTCTTCTTGAAAGCACCTTTCACCTGGCGTCCATCGCGCTCTCGTTCCCAGGTGATCTTAGGAACCGTCTCATCTCGATGTAGGCCCCAATCACGTGGTGAACTCGTAAGTCCATATACAGCGCTTTGTCGATCAGCCAAATGTGATGCCCTTCTGCAAGTCCAAGCTTTTTGAAGACTGTTGGGATCTCCATAGCCAGTAGCTTGTTGTTTTCCCTTCTAGGGGCATTGAGGAACGCCGTACGGATGTCAGTACAGCCACACCTCCACTTGCTGAGAGCTCCAAGACGTAGCATCGTCCTTACCTGGTTGGCATCTGATCCACCAGCATAGTGCTCAGCATTGTCTGGAGCTTCGTAATTCCCACATACCACTGCTCGGCTTCTGTAAGCCCCGCTGCCAGCTTTTCTGGTGTGAACCATCTTGCCCGGCAACACCTCGATCGGCAGTCCACGTTGTTGCGCCAGCTGCTGCAACTCCGTCTTTGTGATCTGTTTCACAGCTTGTTTGCTATTGACTAGCTGGTTGTATTCGGCCTGGATCGATGGTTGCCATGCCTCTAAGTTTGACCACACTTCAGTGTTGCTGATGGTTTTTGTTACCAAAAACTCCTAGTCCAACTTCTCCAGCGTCCGTTGTGTTTCACAACCTTGAGCATCTTGAAGCTGGTGTTCAACCATCATTTTCATGGTGAGGGCTTCAGCCAATGCGCCAATCCACATTGATTGCTCCTCAGTCGTGGCGTCCAACTTCTCGTACTCCGTCTTGATATACTCAGTCAAGTTGTTGTGAAGACACCGGAGCACCGTCGTCCCTGTCATGTTTGAGGCCACCGGGTGGGCGGCACCAGCCCGGTCGTTAGGCGCCTCCTCCACATCCCCTCCTCCAGGCTCTTCAACGTTGGACTGCTTCGACGGCGTCCGATCATGGGAGCTTGCTGAAGTCTCCTCGGAATCAGTTTTCAGGGACCAACTTTCTTCGTCACTACCCGTTATACTTACTTTCCAACTCAAAATGGGGTTGCAACCAT